TTAGTAAAAATAGAATGGGTAAAAATAGAAAAGTAGAGAAATAATTTACCCAAATTCAGTGAAACTCCAAATCGTATGGTTGAATCAATGAAAGAGGTGGGAAAAGATCTAAGAGAAAAAGGAAAAGAATAAAATTAGTTGTAGAGAAACGAAATGTATAAAAGAGAAGAGAAAATTTAATAAAGTACTTATCTTTCCATGCGTCTGAAATAATAGTAGGAGCAAAAGATCCAGTGTTAGTAAAGTCGTTCAATAAATATAAACCATAACCCATAGATAAAACATCAAAAACTTTGGTACCTGCCAAATCATATTTACGCCTCTATTCAAGCCTTGAAGTTGACGTAGCGCAAGAATTCTGGTCTTCTAGCGACAGACTCGCCGTTTTCAAACACAACAATGACTATGGTAGAACTTTCAAATATTGAAATGTTAGAATTCCAATTACCTGAAGTTCAATTTCCTGAAGTTCAATCTACTGAAGTTCAATCTACAACACTAATTAAAGGAAGTGTGTCAGCTATAAGTCAGTTTATTGGTGGTTTAGGCACTTGTTTTGTAGGAGTTTGTAGATTATTAGGATGTGGTGCTGCTGGGGAAGATGAAGGAGCTTGTGTGTTCATATTGCGGTCTCTTGGTGCTATAGGCGCAGGTGCACTTAAATTATTACCACTAGTAATAATAGTAGTAGGATCCACGATGTTATATCTTTATGTAACCGACAAAAAAGATGATGAAAATTTGACTAAATAGTTAAAAAAAAAATTTTCGACCAATCAAATTTCAAGAAAACGAGAAATGCAAAAATATATGTTCACCTTTTGTAGTAAAAATTTCAAAAGCTTCTTACAAAGTACTTTACAATGTTTCTATACCGAACACCAAAAAAGCCGAAATAGGGTGGGTTTATTATAATAAGGTTCATTTATCTAGAGTTGACTGCACTAGTTATAAAATGGCAGCATTTTACAAGACTGGAATCTTATATATCAAGTTTCAAGTTCTTAAATTGTAACAAAATTTTTTTTTATGTAAATTGCATCTATTAATAACGCATTCTTACTGCATCAATATATAAATATATGCATTATCTGTTATAAATGAAGGTTAAGTACTTTTTTCAGTGATGTTATTAGCTAGTGTTGTACATTTTGGATTGTCCGAGCTCCTTTTGACTGTCCGGCGGACATTCAGACTCTTATTTGGCCTATATATCTATCCTTAAAATGCACACATATATGCAAAAGTTAATTATAATTTAAAGCGGGTCATAATAATAAATTTTGGTTTAAATTATGTCCGAATGTTGAATTTATGCCAGGTCGGGACACATTAATAATTTGCGCCATTTAAAAAATTATAATGATAATAAAACTATAAATTTTAATAGAATGAAAACACCCCTTTTTTTTTAATGTTATTTCTACTCGAATCATGTTCTTGTTATTTTCAAAAAGCACGTTTCCCGTAATGTTTATAAATTATGAATTTTCAAAAATTTTTACAGACCAAAACGTCAAAGTTCTTAATAATACGCGTAAAAAAAATATTGGCTTTAAAAGTTTGATAATAAATCTCAAATAAACGCGTACTATATAGTTTAAAAAATAAAAAATTCTTTAAATGAAAAAACTTTTCTCATAATCTACGTTGAATCATATCTTAAAAAGGAATAATACTGGTGTTCCTTAATGTTAAAGACGTTTCACTTTTGTAATTAAATTTTATAAGCTTTGTTATCCTTACATACTTCCGAAATTACCATAATACAGTACACTTACTAAAAATTTTAAAAATTAAATTATTTATGTTATGTCTTCAAGTCACAAAAGAAAAATAGAAAACATTCAAACTACAGGACGGTTGACGAAACACTTGGTGGAAGTTTTCGTTAAAAATTTTACGAATGACTGAAATAAAAGAGATCATTGTGGCTGGTTAATGCGCCATCAACCTGGCACATATTTAGAATTGCCAAATGTTGTCCAAGTGATAACATTTAATTATTAGCTAACATGAGAAAATTTTTGCACATGTCAGTGAATTTATAATATAGTAACGATCGAGTTTTGAAATTAACTCTTTATCTGTTATCTTGAAATAACGTTATTCCAATAATTTTCGTAAGTTTTTAAAGGGTGAGTAAAAAAAAGATTAACTGCAAAAAAACTTGAATATGTGATATCCACGTTTTTATGAAATTCTCGAACTTTCGCTAAACATTAACCTGATTAGATATAAAAAAAAAACGCTTGCACAAGTAACGGCTTATATACTAGTAGATGTTTATTACTTGTTCTGAATCTTTTAATTACAGCCAAATTTCGGTACAACAGAAGTTTTAGCATACTCCATGAACAAAAAAAAAAAAAAAAAAAGAATAATCACTACTGTAGATAAAATAATTATAATAGTATTTTAGGGTTGGATTGCAACTAGCCATAATCTTTAGATAATAATAAAAAGATTTTGAGAGATTGCAGCTATACTAGTTAAAATCAAATAAACTCGATTAACATCTGCAAAGAAAAAACTTATGTAAAATTTTGAAGCATCTTGCAAAATATTAAAAAACGTTCTTCATGCCATCTGTCTTAAATTATTCATGATTTAAACACTCATATACTGCGGTACTGTATGTCTATAACCTTATACAGTTCACCCTGTCAAAAACTGATAAAAAATCAATCTACCATATCTATTTCTGATGCAATTATTATTGGACCCTTTAAACCTAATAACCTTTCAGTTTTGACGGGGTAGACTGTATATATTTATTGAATATTTAATAAAGTTTCAATAGATCTAAGTACTAGACGTACGAAATATGTACCAAAATGACACATTCTATTAAACAACAAAAATACCAATTGCAGAATTGTATATATGTCGTGCCTGAAGTTGTGACTTCAAACACGACATAAGTTATATAAACTCTTCGATTATATAAAATTAATATTTTTGTTAAGCCAGTATAGTAAGAAATTTTTACTTACATTTTAACTTGACAATACTCAAGATTTACAACATTAAAAAAACTTTAGCTCTATTTTCAGGCAACAGAAACTGATAAAGAATTTGATAAAAAAAATAAAATAATAATAATTAGCAATAAAATTTTATTTAAAAAGTCAAAATATAACTCTACGCACTTAACATAAAATTTTAAATAAAAGTTAAATAGGCCACTTAAATTTTAGTCATGTCTTTGTATTTATTATGTAACTCTGTTCTTACACGATAAATACACTAGTCCGACCTATTATCTGTTCATACGCATTATACGATAAAAATAATGTAATTCTACCTACACTACAAATATTTTACAAACAATTAGCCCAACACGATAAACAAATCTTATATCGCAAATTTGGCGCGATCAAATTTTTACACACCATTGAGGCTTGTATCTTATACACACTACTTCTTAATAATGGAACAAGTTTTTAATAAGTATTAACCAATTTGGCCTATTGAACGAAGATTGACCTAACCAATAATTTTTTCAATCGTAATAGCAGATAATGGCTTTAACAAAAAACAAATAACAAATATCAATATCATAATATCGATATATATATATATATTAAAAAACCTCATTGTCTAAATCTATAATTATCGTTATATTAATAATAATTATAATTTTTTTATTCAAAATTGTTCTTAATCTTCCTATACATAAATATTCCACCAGAGCGTCAACAACGCAACTCATAAATGAGATTACAGTCGTGCTTACCGAGCACAACAACATTCGCAATATTAAATCACGTGAAATTAAATTTCCTGATCTTCGATTGCCTGAAATTAACTTCCCTGATATTCAAATTCTTGAAATTGACTTTTTTGATATTATTGAAACTATTGGAAAGATAATAATAATTGGTATAGTTTCTTTCTTAATTTCTTATTGTCTCATCATTGTATGTGCTCACTATCTTGGGTTTGGTGATGGAATCGTTGAAGAAAGTATTGCTACCGGGTCTCAAAGAACGGGTGCTACAGGTGTACCTGTACCTGATAAAAGAATATTAATAGCAGTAACAGTAGCATTATTCATGACATGTTTGGTGATTTTTTTGTAATTGCTATTTATTGAAGAGTAGCGGTAATTCAATATTATTAATGTTTTATGGCCTTTTAATAAATAACCACAATTTATTGGTATATACCTATATTATAATACCACATTATTATTCCATTTATAAATTTATACCTACCTTAAAACTTCACAATATTTCACATGTAATCTTAGAATTTGTAATTTATTGTATGATTATTCTACAACCTTTATTACTTGAAATGATCAAAAGAACTGTAACAAATATTTTCTGTTATTTATTTTTACTTGAATAATTAATATTCAGTCATTCAATCCAAATTCGGTTTAGGAAATATAGCAGGCTTTATTCAAGAAATCAGTTAGTTTGCACTGAATAATTATTAGTTTCTTGAGAGACAGAGATCAAAATAGATACTTCATTAGTGGATAAAGAGAATAATATTTCATCGATATCTGATATACTGTAAATATCAATTTGTCATAGTAATAAAAAACAACTGCTTTTTAATATGTATTTTCCATTCATTGTTTGTGATTAAGGTTTAGTAATCTTTTCATCTCATCTAATCTATTTACGTTTAATTTTCAATGCTGTACGATAAAAACACAATGGGAATAACAATTTTGAACGATCACACAGTTTATTATTAAAATTTTACACGTTTATGAAATAATACTTAATGACGTCAAGACACTTTAATGATTTCTATTTTCTTTCTACTTTCAGTTTTATTATCAAAACAAATCCAATTTAATAAAATAACTGCAACAAATAATATTATTTACTATAATGATATAGTATTCGACGGTCCATAATACTGTGGCTAGTAATAATTTCAGTAGATTAATTTTAAAAGTTCGATAGGTAAAAGTTATGCCACATACCATTTTGAAATATCTTTACAAAATATTAAAGCATTTTTTCCATGTAATTTATCTATAATTTAGATACCCACATATATCTATAACCTTATAATTGTGATCTATTTTAAGTAGTATCCCTGTTATTGTGAGAGAAAATAAATGCTCAAATTTGTATAATTTTCTTGTTTAGTCCGCTTAATGATTTTTTTTGATCCTTTTAAATAATTACTATAATTAATAAAATAATAACAAATATATCAAATATCAAATACTAAAGATTATTAATAAAGTTTTTGAGATATTAGTTTACCAAAATTTGGGATTTGAATTCCAATATCAATATATATATATATAATAGTTTGCAAGTTTAATACGTATGTACTAATCACACATATTACACGTATTACATGATAAAAATAACATAACCTACACTATAATACTATATATATATATATATATATATATTATATATATATATATATATTATGTATATATATATATTATATATATGTATATCTTATTATAATAATCTTCTATTAATATTCTCTTGCTTTCGTGCACTATACGTACATTATAGCAATTAATATAAGCGGAGATTCGTTTCCTAGTTTTAAATGCGACGATACCTAATATGGTTAATAAATAACTAGCTTTTTTTTTGAATGAGACAAAATATCGTCATAAAAGTACGTAATAATATCACAGAAAATTCTTGTATAATTTACTTAAGACATTTAAGCTAATATCTGCAACCATGTTTTTTTTGTTTATAGAGTATTTTTAGCGCCTTTCAGA